GGGGGGGGGGGGTAAGGAACCAAATAACTAGTACACCAGTGCAGGTGCCCAGCTCAGCTTGGCCATCATACCTTTTACTGAGATTCAATACTAACCTTGTATTCAGAAAACTGGGAAGATTTGGTGCAGTTAAATTTTAGATCAGTGGTACTTAACGTGTATGAAACCTATGACTAAAGCTGTGAAGGATGCCGCTGCTGCTGATGATGAAAAAGAAATCTATGATGTTGTTATTGTCCTGAAAGTATTTATAAAACTCAAGTTTACACTTGCAAAACATTTCAAACAAAATGAAAATGTTTGTAACACTGTTAAATTACATATAAATTTGAAAGCATAGGCAAATTTGAGGCAAGTGTTTTAGGCAGTAGAAGGACAGAGATCAGTACGAGCTGGAGTTGCCTGGAAGACTTTTAGGAGGTGACTATGCTTCAGATACACTTCGAAGGATAGGTGAGCTTTTGATTGGTGGTTAAGTTATGAAAGTATGAAAGCAATTAGAGGGAAGAATAGAGAATGAAAGAGCTGCAGGGGTGAGGGGATGGAGCAACCATGCATGTCTAGTGGGTAGGGTATGATTGAAGGAGAAGGTATACGGGAAGGTACAGTGGGAAATTACGAAAAAACAATTTAATTTACAAGGCTCCTAATATTTGCTTGGTAATTTCACATGGGCAAGATAGGGCTGAATTACAGGAGAATCTGAAGTGTCAGGCTGAAGTTTGGACTTACAAGCCATGGGGAGCCTCGTAAGTTTTTCAGTGTAGTAAAGATACAGTGAAAATGGTATTTAAAAAATTTTTTTTTAATGTTTATTTATTTTTGAGACAGAGAGAGAGCATGAATGGGGGAGGGTCAGAGAGAGGGAGACACAGAATCTGAAACAGGCTCCAGGCTCTGAGCTGTCAGCACAGAGCCTGACGCGGGGCTCGAACTCAGGGACCGCGAAATCATGACCTGAGCCGAAGTCGGCCGCTCAACTGACTGAGCCACCCAGGCGCCCCTGAAAATGGTATTTTAGAAAAACTATTTGGTTGCATGCAGGATGCAGTGGAGTGGGGAGAAATGCATGAGACTTGCATCATTCCAGAAACAATCCATTAAAGGTTTGGACTAGGGAAGTAGCATTTTGAATGGAGAGGAGAAAAATAAGAAATATTTTGAAGAAAGTGCCTTGCTTCAGTGATAATTTCAGATGAGCAATAAATGAGGAGAATGTTGAAATAAGTTTCAAATATGGATGTCTGCAAAAATGGCTGACCAAAATGGGACCTGTGGAAGGAAGGTCAGAGTGGTTTAGGACTGAAGTTATAAATTTGGTATTGGACAAGCTGAATTTATGGTGACAGCCCTATGAGGGTGTCCTAAAGGTAGCTGAACTAGGTCAGAGCTACAGTCCTAAGTGCAAAGCCACATTTGCGGAAGTAGATGAGCTCAACAGAGCCAGTACACAGAAAACCAAAAGGCCAATGAATGTGCCTATAGCTAGTAGAAAGAGGACAAGGAATCAACCGGGAAACTGTGGAAGTGACTGGAGAGGCAGATAGCCAAGTTTGTATTTTAGAATCTAGAAGATTTAATTTAATATAATCAATACAAAGCTACCAAGAGGCCAGAGAAAAGGAGGTCACCGGTAACCCCAAAGAAGAAAGTTTTAATTGAGTGGTTAAGCAAAAGGTTTTTGTGGAATTAGAGAGGGAGTACATTGTGAAGAAGGGGAGGGAGAGTATAGACCAATCATTTGAGAAATCTGATAATGAAAAAAGAGAAGCAACAGCTAAAAAGGGCAACAGGACCAAAGTGCAGCCTGAATATAATTGACCACAGATGGGAGGAATCAGTAGGAATGGAAAGCTGATTGATGACAAGGACGAAGAAATATTTTAAAGTATATGGTAGGCTCCATTTAGAGTGTAAACTCTTTGAAGAAAGGGGTCAGATCTTAATCACATTTACATCCCCCCTATAGCACCTAGCACATTGACTAACACGGTGTCAAGCCCATAACGGATAAAAATGTGCATTCTTGAAGTGAGTTGAAGCTCCCTGGCATGGTCAGGAGGCTGAAAGGCACAGAGGAAAGGACTCCTTATGGTAATGGGGAGGAGAGATGGATCCTTCTGTAAGCTCAGAGGAAAGGAAGACTGAGGTTGGTGTAAAGAGATGGCTATCCTTTCAGAGGGGGAGGGGGATGTTAGGAAGGATGACACTGGCCTACCGTGGGGGGATGTCTGTATTTTAGCAGAGTCCAGATCTGAACGATGCTGTATCCAGTCTGCAGAGTCCTGTTCCCCTCCTCCTGTCCTGGGCCCTCGTTCAGGGGGGGATGTATTTCATGTAGAAGGTGAGAGTGCAGCCACTGGCCTTGGGGGAATCAGTGAACTAATTTTTTTTTATCAGTATCTCTGGCTAATGTTTCCAGCCTGGTCAGTTCTCAGCTACTTAAAAGGAAGAAGGATCTCGTTTAGAAAAATCTTATCTAATTTCAAAGAGGTTTAGGAAATGTTGAGGCAGAGACTTTTCAAACAAGAGTCGTTACTTTTTCTGAACTGGGAGGACTTCAGCACCTCGTACAGCAGAAGCAGATGAAATAGAGAAAAAAACCTCTCCAGATTTCCAGTCTGCCTTGAGGAATCAAAGCTGGTTCCAGCCAGGAGGTGGTTCAAGATACGGCGGTTGCCAGAGGGCATAATGGGAGGGGCCTTACAACCTGGCAGAGTCTAGAGGCAAAGTTCAGAGGCTGTAGGGGTGGGGGTTGGTTCCCTAAAGTAGAGCACAGATGGTGGAGACAAAAGGAGGGAAAAGAGGCCTGTACTATAGGGAAGGAATTTAAAATTGGGATTCTAAATAACTAATGGGGGGTGTGTGTGAAGAGATTTAGCAGAGTAAGGAGTGAGCAAGGGAGGGGACACATCTTCCAGGAGACGTCAGGGGGAAATCTAGCTTGGAATCTGAAATATGGGGAGTTTTCTTAGAGGTGGGGGGCCCGGAGGGGCGCTTCCTCAGCCACCTGAGCCTGGTGTTTTTCCCTTTCTTTGCTTTTTTTAGGAAAAAGAAGGCTGCTACAAATCTTTGGATGGGGATTTGGGAAGAGGAATTTGGAAGATAAATAAATGAAATAATCTGGTTACTCTCTACTCCCTGAGAGGCTCTGTTCTAAACTCACAACACTAAAGAGAGCACCAGGATATGGGGGGTAGGAAGGGTAGATTAGAAAGGGTGTCAGCTGGCAAAAGAATGAGAGGGAATAATTAGGACTGTGAATCAACCTGAAATTTTGTGAAGAATGGAGAAGAGCACCACAGACAATTCCGTCTAATTCTTTTATTACACATGGTTTTGAGGCTGTGTTTGGGAAAAGAGAGTTGAGGTTTATGTAGAACACTTTTTCCTTTTTGTATAATAAGCACATTGTTAAACATATGTAAAATATTAAAAACTACTTAGAATAGATTTTTAAAATTCACACCCTCCTCCACTCACACCCCCCACCCCCCCAAATGTGCCTTTTCCAGTGCGTAATTAGGGCAGGCAGGGACACATTTTAATTTTCTCTATCCTCGAGACCCTAATCAGAACTGGGCTGCCCCCTTGCGGTCTCTTCGGTGTCTCACCTTCTATGAGCAAACCGTCCCTGAGCCCCTATCCCCTTCTCCGCACTGTACTTTCAGTACTACAGGGGGCAGCGAATAGTCCATTCCGGACTCTGTGAACTCCGAACTTACCACCCTCCCTCCTTCCAACCCTTCCGAATCTTCTCCAGGGTACAAATAAAGGAAATGAAGGTATCATCTAGGAAATCAGGGACCTACCCATACTCCGTTCTCTACGTTAGGGAACACGGAATTCAGGGCGCAAGGCCGGAGGAGCCTGTTTAGAAAAGTCAGGAACACCCGAGCTCAGCTTTGACCTCTACAGTCGTGGCCGACTGGCATCTGAGCTGGTAACGTGCGTGGCGGGTTATGTAAGGAAAGGGCCGGAGGAGCCGCCCCAGTGGGAGTCTGGGAGAGGACGCGGTGTTCTCGGCGGCAGTCCCCACCCTCTTCACCCAGCAGGGCAGGAGGCACCCAACTGGGGAAAGGGAGCCAGAGATCGGAGAGTCACGAGGGCCACGCGGCCCAGAGGGGGGAGGCTACACAGTAGCATACAGCCATTCTCTCACACACGTTGCAGACCCAAGTTGCTGCTGGCTTCCACGTGCTGCCCTCGTGAGCGGAGGCTCTAACAGCTGGAGGGGAGATAAAGGGGGAGGGGGGAGTCTGCTACCGAAGAGGAGCCCGGAGTCCCACATCCCAAGACGCGCGCCTCACATCACACACCCCGTCCGTGCACTCCAACCGCACGTCTCCTGCCCACCACCATCCTATTTAAGACCGCGGGCTCCGCCCTTTTCCACTCTTCTTCCACCCTCCGCCTTTTCTCCTCACCGGGTCCAGGTCGCGAGCCGCATGTAGGGGCGGAGCACGGAATCCTTCCCTTCCAGCCAATCGTCACCTAACTGGGTCTCTATTGGCCGAGCCCCTAGTAGGCTGTAGCAAATGGGATGTGAAAGTCAGTCGCGGGAGTCACGTGCCACCGGTTAGACAACCAATGAGAGTGTGAGGTCTGTGTTCGCAGGGGGAAGGCACGTGCCTCGCCGCACGTGTCTGGGAGGGGGAAGGGGCGGGACCCAGTGGGAGAGAGGCGGAGGTGGGTAGCCGAGAGCGACGGAGTTGGAGAAGCCGGAGGCAGCCTGGACTGAGCAGACCCGACGCAGGTGAGGAGGCTTGTAGAACCGGGAAGCCATCCGCGCGCGGGAAGATCAGACCCCGAGAGAGTAGGTTTAGGGACCGAAAGCAGAATTGGGCATTGGGAGGAATAGCATCACGTGGCAGGCGCGACTGTAGAGGGTCCTGGTGCAGGGCTCCGGATTGGAAAGATTGGAAAGAGGCGGGAGGTTCCTGTGGGGAGCAGGCCCTACAGGGTCACTAGGTGGCTTTGGTTACCTTACCGGAGATTTACGGCTCGGCTCGCCGTAGCACTTGCTGCGGGGTTAGGTTGGGAACAGACCTGGCGAACAAATGTTCGGGGTGGGGAGACGGAAGGTGTCGAGTCAGGTAATTTACTCTGAACAGAGGGAGGTAAGAACAGAGTCTGCGTCAGACTAAGTAAGGGCTGCTCTGCGGAGCCCATAGGGGCAGTCCAGGTACTTAATTGAAGGGGGGGCAGGTGGAGGAGAGGACTTTGTCGGCTCTGAGACAGGTGATACTGGGGAGGAGAGAAGAGATCTTATCATCCCATGCAGTACACCCCAGTCTCCCAGTCCATTTCCTAATTTTCAGATTATGGTAATATGCTCCCTTGCTTTGCTCTTCAGTTGCAGGTCCCGATCTTTGGGTACTCCGGGAGCTGCTCTCCAGCCCCTGCTTCTGAACCTATGGATTCTCCATCTAGCGTTTCTTCCTGTTCTTCCTATTCTCTCTCTTCCTCTTTTTCCACCTCCCCAGTGAACAGTGACTTTGGTCTCCCCTCCGATAGTGAGGGGGAGGACAAAGGGGCCCATGGCCCCAGGCCAGACCCTGTTGGGCAGAGGGGAGGTTCTCGGCCACGACCGGGTCCTATCCGCTGCAGGCAACGGCCCAAGGTCTCCAGCAACCAACATACAACATCTTACTTGGAACAGCGGGGCTTGGCCTCTCCTATGGCAGGATCTGGGGTCAAAAGATCGAGAGACGGTGAATTACAGACCACTGTAAACATCCAGGGTTGTATCACAGAAGGAGACCTGCTTTTTGCTCAGAAGGTAAGAAAGAGCAGGGGAAAGGAGACAATACTGGAATGGCTTAGCACCCAGATGGCTAGTAAGGACCCTGTGAAGTGGGGAATAACAGTACTGGTGTGTGGGCAATTCTCAGCCCTCCCGTAGTCTTTGTCCTGTTTTCCTACAGTGTAAAGAGCTCCAAGGTTTCATCCGCCCTCTCACAGACCTACTGAATGGGCTGAAGATGGGTCGATTTGAGAGAGGTAATTATTTGGTTAGTTGCAATTATTTGGGCTAGGTTCTCCTCTTTCTTTTTCTCTCTTGATGTTTTAAATGTGTGTTTCTTTTAAATCTTTGCATTTAAAGCTTTATTTCTTTTTTAATCTTTACATTATTTCTTTTGTGCTTCTGTGATTTCATTTCTTTGGGTGAATCTATTTTAACCATGCTTTGTTCTTCCTTTACCTGACTAAATTGTTGCATCTCAATCCTTCATGTCTTTCCTTCTCCCTGACCCCAGGATTGAGCAGTTTCCAGCAGAGCGTGGCAATGGACAGGATCCAGCGTATTGTAGGTGTTTTGCAAAAGCCCCAGATGGGGTGAGTTCTCCTGGTTCTTTCCTCAGTATTTCATTAAAAGGAGATGTCCATAATCCTGTCTTGTTGCCTTTTTCACACTTGATGGCATTTTAAGTAAATGTCTTTCTCACAGGGAGCGTTACCTAGGAACCTTGCTACAGGTGGAAGCGATGTTAAAGACTTGGTTTCCTCGTATAGCTGCTCAGAAGTCATCCTTGGGCAGTAGCAGGCACAAACTGACCCAGGTAAGAACTTGTAAACCTGAGAGAGAGGTGGGGAAATAAGAGAATGAAGTGTACATGGAGAAATGGGTTCTTTCTGTTTTCTTCTAAGTCTCTTCCTTTTTGCCAATAAGTTTCTTTTCACGGGAGGGAATGCCCAACGTTCCTTCATTGTCTTGATCCTTATATGGTTTTTGTTCTATTTTGTCTGTATCACTACAAAGAACTCCGTGAATGGGCACCTGGGTAGCTTGGTCAGCTAAGCGTCTGACTCGGTCTCACTTCAAGTCTTGTTCTCAGAGTCATGAGTTCAAGCCCCACATTGGGCTCCATACCGGATATGGAACCTACTTTAAAAAAAAAAAAAAGCACTCCATGATGTTTAACCTTATTCCTCACGTTTCAGCTTCTCTGCTTTCTGCATGGATACAGAGGACTTTTTTTAAATACTTTTTTTAAATGTTTATTTATTTTTGAGAAAGAGCATGTGCACACATGTGTCGGGGGAGGGATGGAGGGAAAGGGAGACAGGATCTGAAGTAGGCTCCGTACTGTCAGCAAAGAGCCTGACTTGGGGCTCAAACTCAAGAGCCATGAGTCCACAACCTGAACTGAAGTCAGAGGCTTAACCAACTGAGCCACCCAGGTGCCTCTATAGAAGGCTTTTTACCTGGCCAAATGAGTTATGCAGTAAGAGTTTTTAGTTTTTCTTTACAAATCCTTTCTCCTCTGCTGCCCTGAAACCCTTCCCTTCTCTTTCTTTGTACTCCTACCCAAGTACTTTGTTCCAAACCCTCTGGAAGTGTGGGTTTCAAGGACTGGTCATAACAAATACATCACCGAGAGGGTAGGAGGGCGGCCATGGAACACCTATAGAAGGAGTGTTGGATAGATTTTTTTTTTTTTTGAGAGAGAGAGAGAGAGACAGAGCACAAGTGGGGGAGGGGCAGAGAGAGAAGGAGACAGAGAATCCAGAGAAGGCTCCAGGCTCTGAGCTGTTAGCACAGAGCCCAACACAGAGCTCAAACTCACAAACTGTGAGATCATGACATGAGCTGAAGGCGGATGCTTAACCAAGTGAGCTACTCAGGTGCCCCATGTTGGATAGATTCTTAGACTTAGTGTGGAAGTGACCCATTTTTTAAAACTTTTTATTTATTTCTGAGAGAGAGAGAGCGAGCACGCTTTGGGGAGGGGCAGAGACAGAATCGCAAGCAGGCTGTACACTGTCAGTGCAGATCCCCACGCAGGGCTCAGTCTCACAGAACCATGAGACTGTGACCTGAGCCAAAATCAAGAGTTGGCCACTTAGCCAACAGAGCCACCAAGATGCCCCTAGAAGTGACCTATTTTTTTGTGCCTTCAAACAACAGTGTGTTTATGGGGTACTCAAATGATGGGGAGGGGAAAGTCTCCTATAGATAATGGACAGTCCTTGTTTTCAATCAACCACAATTATTATTGCTATGGGAATAACTCATTTAAAAATAAGCAGAGGGAGTGCCTGGGTAGCTCAGTCAGCTAAACCTCTAGCTCAGGTCATGATTTCACCATTTGTGAGATCGAGCCCCAAGCCAGGCTCTGCACTGACAGCATGGAGCCTACTTGGGATTCTCTCCCTGTCTCTATCCTTCCCCTGCATGTGTGTGCAGTATGCATGCGCTCTCTTTTTTCTCTCAAGATAAATAAAACAAAAAAAATTTTTTAAATAAGCAGGAGGATTCTTGCCTGCATATTTTTAAACAATTTTTTTAAGTTTATTCATTTATTTTGAAAGAGCACAAGTGGCGTAGGAGCAGAGAGAGAGGGAGAGAGAACTCCAAACACTATCAGTGCAGAGCCTGATGCAGGGCTTGAATTCACAAACTGTGAGATCATGACCTGAGCCAAGATAGAGAGTCAGACACTTGGAATGCCTGGGTGGCTCAGTCCGTTGAGCGTCCAACTTTGGCTCAGGTCATGATCTCACGGATCTTGGGTTCAGGCTGGAGCTGAACTGTCAGCACAGAGCCTGGAGCCTGCTTTGGATTCTGTGTCTCCCTTTCTCTTTGCCCTTCTCCAACTCACACTCTGTCTTTCTCTCTCTTTTTAAAAAACGAATAATCATTAAAAACAACAACAACAAAAAAAGAGCCGCTCAACCGACTGAGCCACCTAGGCACCCCATTGCCTGCATATCAATTTACATTTCTTAAACAATTCAACCAAAGGAAATGAAAAATTTTAAATATACAAATTGGGAAGTGATGATTCCAATTAAAAATAGGCTTGAAGTCGGGGCACCTGGGTGGCCTAGTCAGTTGAGCGTCCGACTTCGGCCCAGGTCATGATCTCGTGATCCTGCGCTTCATGGGTTAAAGGCCTGCATTGGGCTCTGTACAGCTCGGAGCCTGGAGCCTGCTTCAGATTCTGTCTCTCTCTCTCTGTTTCTTTCTCTCTCTCTGCCTCTCTCCTGCTTACACTCAGTTTCTCTGTCTCCCAAAAATAAATATTAAAAACAGCCTTGAAAAATAAGTTCTAAAATGAACTATTTTTTAAATAGTGAAACCTTACAGGACTGTTTTATTTTGCCCACCTGGATGTCCAGTGTTTGATATATATGTGGTACGTAACAGGCTTGCAAGTATTCGTCAAGTAAGTGAAAGTCTAATTAGGTTACTAAAATTTTTACTTAATCATGGCCTGCCAGGAAATTATCTGTTGCATAAAACATGGTGTGTTTGCCTTGCAGACAGAGTCCCCAAGGAAAGAAAAATTTTAAGCAACCAAGTGGAGTTCATCTGAGAGCTCTCTCACGTATTTTTTTTTCTCTTGTGTCTTCCTTCTAGCATTTTCCAAGCCACCACAGCCATCCAGCTGCTTCCTCTCCTGCACCTCCCACGGAAAAGTTGGACGAGACACAGCTAGGACATCTAGTGTTGAAATCGAAGCAGCCTTGGCACCTCACAGAATGGCCAGCCATGCACCTCACTTGGACCCACACCACTCCAATTTGCAACCCACCCCTCAGTTCCCCAGGTACCACTTCCCTGAGCCACGGTCCTTTAGGCACTGGAGCCAGCATCGGTATCATCCTTTTTGTCCAGCATGGAGTACAGCCCTTCACCCACTCTGCCCCAACCACTTCAGTTCTACCTGCTACAGCATCGCCTGTCATCCCCAGTGCTCCTAAGAAACTCTCTGGAGAGGGACCTCCTTGCCACAGTTTGCCAGTAACTCTGCCATCAGACTGGAGCTGTACCCTGTCCCACCCTGGTCTACCCACCATGGCCAGAGAGATGACTGGGAGACATCTAGAGCAGATGAGAAGCCATCCTTCAGTTGCCCCTGATGTCCATTCTCTCAACCCCTAACCCAGGACTCGCGACCATGGTTTCTAATTTGTGTAAATATGTGTCTCTCTCATATATATTTTTTACTTTTAACGTGTGCATTTGTGTTGAGGGAAGAGCAATCCTTTTGATTAAAGAAATTTTATACCTAAACAGTTTGTTGATTGGAGGAAATGTAAACCTGCTTCAAGTACCAGTATTTATTCTCTAAGCAGCAGGAAAGAAGAGAGGGGATGGGAATGTTTGTGAACATGAGCCTCAGCTAGTTAGAATCTGAATGGGATGAGAGAGGTCCAGTGGAGAAGAAAAGGAACTCTTGCTGGCTTCCTCGGGACCACTGTTGGGACAGTTACAGGGTTCAGAATGGGCCTTGTGTTTTCATGTAGTCTCAGAGACTAGTACATTTCCTTTGTGTCTCTCACTTTTGAAATCTTCCAGCTGGCCCAGACTAGCAGGCTCTTCTGCTCTGGGATAGCTTTTTGCTTTGATGGGAACTATTGGTGCTTATGAATAAATGCACATGTAATCGACTGCTGTCAGAAGGGGGACACAGGAGCCAGGACAGTCACTGGGGTTGCTAGTTGTGATGAGGAAGGGGTGCCCTAGAGCTGTCAGAATGGGGAGTCCACTCAGACACAGGCCACATCCTGATTCAAAAGGCTGCAGCTGCTAAACATATGGAAAGCCGCCCCGTGTTATCAGGAGGCGGAAATGGAGTCTGTACATTTATCTACATCCACCCTTCTCTCTATATCACTCTGACTCATTTGTCCCAGTGACCATCCAGACCATGTCCTCTCCCATCCTAAGCCTTGGCGATGTATCAGATGACTCAGTCATTTTCATTGTTCTTATTGGCTACTTAGCATGTTTCTCACAGCTGGTTATACATCTTTCCCCCATTGCTCAAGTTTCCTGTTCTCAGGGAAGAATCATCTCTTGATTGAATTCAGAGAGCGTAACCTCCTTTCTAAGACAAACCACTCCATTTGTGCCCTTGATTACCTTTCTCCTCTGGAACTTTTGCTGTGTCATTTATCCCCCTCTTTATCTTGTAACTTTGTTCTTGAATTATTTATTTATTTCTCCTACAAGTAATATTTTTTTTTATTTTTTTTTTAATTATTTTTTTTTTCGACGTTTATTTATTTTTGGGACAGAGAGAGACAGAGCATGAACGGGGGAGGGGCAGAGAGAGAGGGAGACACAGAATCGGAAACAGGCTCCAGGCTCTGAGCCATCAGCCCAGAGCCCGACGCGGGGCTCGAACTCACGGATCGCGAGATCGTGACCTGGCTGAAGTCGGACGCTTAACCGACTGCGCCACCCAGGCGCCCCTCCTACAAGTAATATTTATTCCTCCCACAAGTGGGATCAGTTCTCCCCCTTCTAGAAAACATCTTTTGAGTCTGCTTGTCCTCTTTCTCATATTTTCTTCATAACATTATAAGTTTATTTATTTATTTTTGACAGAGGGGCAGGAAGGGCAGACAAAGAGGGAGAGAGAAAATCCCAAACAGCCTCCATGCCCCAGCACAGAGCCCAATGTGGGGCTCAATCTCACGACCAGGAGATCGTGCCCTGATCCAAAACCAAGAGTCAGATGCCCAACGGACTGAGCCACCCAGGCACCCCATTTTCTTCATATTTTTGACAGTCTAATCTTTCCAACTCCTGGGGCTCCTGGGTGGCTCAGTCGGTTAAGTGTCTGACTTCAGCTCAGGTCATGATCTCACGGTTGGTGGGTTCAAGCCCCGCATCAGGCTCTGTTCTGCAGCTCAGAGCTGGAGCCTGCTTCAGATTCTGTGTCTCCTTCTCTCCCTGCCTCTCCCCTGCTCGCACTCTTTTTCTCAAAAATAAATAACACTTCTAAAAAATTAATCTTTCCGACTCCTACCACTTACTCCTTAGCCCCCTACAGCTTAGCTACTACCACTCTGGTGCACCTTCCAGAGTCACTAATTATCTCACAGAATCAGGTATTCTAATGGAGCTTCCATCAAATCAATAGCTAGATCCAGGATCCTTTACAAAGGCTATGTGGTGCTCGCTTCGGCAGCACATATACAAAGGCTATGTGCTTCCTGCTCCTGTAGCATTTGACACTCTTGATGCTGCCTACTGAAACTCTCCTCCCTTGGGTTCCATGACAGCACACTATCCTAATTCTCCTCTTACCTACCTGGCAGCAACGTCTATATCTCTTTTTTTTTTTTTAACATTTTTTTTTCAACGTTTATTTATTTTTAAGACAGAGAGAGACAGCATGAACAGGGGAGGGGCAGAGAGAGAGGGAGACACAGAATCGGAAACAGGCTCCAGGCTCTGAGCCATCAGCCCAGAGCCTGACGCGGGGCTCGAACTCCCGGACCGCGAGATCGTGACCTGGCTGAAGTCGGACGCCTAACCGACTGCGCCACCCAGGCGCCCCAACGTCTATATCTCTTAATGGCCCCACCTCGGCCCACTCTAGAATGTGGGTGTGCGCTCAGGCTCAGTCCTTGATTCTTTTCTCTGACTACATACTTTCACAAAAAGGTTTCATCTTTCATGGCTTTTAATTATTGCCTCAACTTTGAAGACTCCTGAAGCCCTATCTCTAGTCCCAGTATTTCCCACAGAAGACATATTGAACGTCTATATTTCTGCTGAACAGTTCTGTTTATGTTATTAACACCTAAATATTACTGAAAATTTCCGCATTTTAGAACCAACAGGTATCACTCAAACCCCTCACTTTTTAGACAAGGAAACTTAGGTGGCGTGTACAAGACAACACAGCGTGTGGTACAGAATTCTGAGTTTCCAGTGTGGTGCTTTTTCCAGTGGTCCCCAATCAAAATACTTTCTTTCCTTTGAAGATGTCCTGTTCTGCCTTTTTATACTCGTCTTCTTCTGTAAGCGCTATCTATGCTACCAACATTTCTCTAGATAACTAAACTCAAAACTTGGTGCCGGTCAACATATTCTTTTTTAAAAATATTTTTTTATTTTGAGAGAGAGAGAGTGAAATGTGAGTGGGGTAGGGGCAGAGAGAGGGAGAGAGAATCTGACTGCACCCCAACATGGGCTGGGAACCCAACCCTGAGATCATGACCTGAGGCAAAATCAAGAGTCAGACACTTAACCAAATGAGCCACCCAGGTGCCCCATCATCAAATCTTTTTATTCTGCATTTGGAATGTCTTTTTTTTTTTAAGTTTATTTATTTATTTTGAGAGAGAGAGCACGCATGCACATGCAGGCACCCAAAGGGGGAGAGGGCAGAGAGGGAGAATCCCAAGCAGGCTTTGGGCTGTCAGCACAGAGCCTGACGCTGGGCTTGAAATTAGGAACCATGAGATAATGACCTGAGCTGAAATCAAGAGTCAGACACTTAACTAACTAAACCACCCAGGTGCCCCTTGGAATGTCTCTTAAAATCTATTTTTCCTATCCATTTCATCGCCACATCTTTGGCCTAAACTTTAACTATAGCAATAGTCTCTCTTACCTCTAATCCCTTCTCACTGATAACCAGAATACTTTTACAGAACAATGTCTTGAATGTTATATCCTATTTGAATCCTTCAATGGCTCCTCAGTGCTTGGAGAAGAAAGTTCAAAGCCTTTAGTCAAAGCCTTTGTTTCTCCTTCTCCCCTAATTGATCCCTTTGCTCACTTTTTTATTTGTCCTTGAACACTTTAAGACTTTTTAGCTCTAAACTCTAATTCATGCTGTTTACCTTGCCTGGCCTTTTCCTGCTCCTGTTAACTAAACCCTTCCATTCTTTCAGTGACCAACTCAAGTCCTTCTCCCAACAATTCTCTCCAATAAACAATGATATACAGGCTGTCTTTGGCCCTTTACTCCATCAAATGAGATCATGCACTTAAAGTGCCTGTACAAGGTTTGGTATATAGCAGACTTTCAAAAATGTTATGTTCCCTCTTTATTTCAAAAATAATTTTATATTTTATCCCATTTGATTCCCATGACAAATTTTGTGTGATTGAGGACAGATATTAGCACAGATGAGGAAAGAGACTGAGCATTTAAGAGTCGGGGCACCTGGGTGACTCAGTTGGTTAAGCGTCCGACTCTCGATTTTGGGCATGGTCTAATGGTTTCTTGGGTTTGAGCCCTGTGCCAGGCTCTGCACTGACAGTGTGGAGTCTGCTTGGGATTCTCTCTCTCCCTCTTTCTGTGCCCCTCCCCTGCTCACACTGTCTCTGTCTCTCTCAAAATAAATAAGCTTAAAAAAAAAAAAGGCGTCAGCAAGGGTCAATCAGATAGTAAATATTTTAGGCTCTGTTCCAACACCCAAGTCTGCCACTGTAACCCAAAGCAGCCATATCTAATATGTAAACTAATGAGCACAACTGTGTTCCAATAAAGCTTTGCTTAACAAAAATGAGTGGAACTGGATTGACCTGTAGGCAATAAATTGGAGACTAATGGTTTAAGTGACAGGACGTGTGAGTATCAGAGTTTGGATAGAAATCAGATCTCTTGACTTCTAAACCAGTGCTTTCCCATCATGTTATCCTGTTGCCTATATAATTAATTTTGCATTTATTATATGCTGATGTTTTACTATTTAACTTTCACGTCTACCATACTGTGTTCTGGGGGTCCAAGAGGCACTGGAATGGTATCAAAAACATCTAACAAAGAGTAGACATTTAATAAAAGTTTGTTAATAAGCATAGTGATGTTCCAGTCTAGCATTAGTTCGGTACTTTGAACCTGGCTTAGTTTGAGGCTTTTGTTTTTTGTGAGTTCTATTAGCGTAACTGATGAGGATGCAACTGTGTGTGTGCTGGTGCATGCCTGTGCATGTTAGGGGAAGTATGCAAAAAAAACCGTATTACACAAGTACCTGCTTGTGTACCTTTCTTCTTTCGAGCCTTTCCCTACTGTTTTCCAGTAGCTCCTAGATCTGAATTTATATGAATAACCGCAAATGGAAATGTAGAAGTAACAGAGACAAATAAAATAAAAGCGGTTTCCACAGTGAAGAAGAAATAAAGGAGATGTTTCTACTAGGTCTCCTTAAGAGGCAAAGGGATAGAAGTCGACATAAAAAGAGTCTTCAGTTCAGGGCACTTGGCGGCTCAGTCCGTGGAACATGTGACTCTTGATCTGGGGGTTGTGGGTTCCAACCCCAAGCTAGGTGTGGAGATTGCTTAAGAACAAAATCTTAAATTGGGGCGCCTGGGTGGCGCAGTCGGTTAAGCGTCCGACTTCAGCCAGGTCACGATCTCGCGGTCCGTGAGTTCGAGCCCCGTGTCAGGCTC